TTTTAACCCGGGGTTAACACCCCCTGCCTCCTCCAGGGTCACTGCTGAGCACTGTGGTGGGCTCCTAGGGGTTAGAGTGGGCTCCTTATTCTGAGAACCTCACAAAGCCACAAGCATATGGGTTTCAGCAGAAATACTGCTTCACATGTTTTTGAATGTGTCAAGTGTCAAAAAATACACCCAATATTAATATAACGGCAAAACCGGTCACAGCAGCAGCCAGGCACTCTTGTTCTCTTCTTTAGATTAATGTTTCAATTTCTTGGTGAATTACCATTGTGGGAGGAAACATATTGTCACAATGCACATTTTGATTTACTGCCCATAAGATGACAGTCCAAGACTTACAGATAATCACAGGCTAATTCCCGAAGCTTTGCCTTTTTGCACCCCTTAGAAAATAAGAAAACACAGCAGGTTCGTTACACACATTGAAGTTATCATGTACTTACATATCTCCACAGTTTCTCCAGTTGAGATTACAGTAGTAGAGGCTTTTGTGTATAATTTTTATAGCAAAATACATCTAGCAGAAGAGTGAGATTTTGATAGAGTAGAAAATTAATAGAAGACTGAAGATTGGTCACAACCAAAGTGGCTGTAGAATTAAAAAGAAACTTGAAACTTCTGTTTGTCAAATGATAATTGACCATGCAGTCCTTTTTTGTTTTATTTATTTATTTATTTATTTATTTATAATGGAAGTACAGTTGATTTGCAATGTTAGTTTCAGGTGTACAACAAAGTGGTTCAGTTTATGTATATATATATATATATATATTCTTTTTCATTACAGGGTATTACAAGCTATTGAAATAGTTCCTTGTGCTGTACAGTAGGACCTTGTTGTTTATCTACTCTGTATTTAGTAGTGTGTATCTGTTAATCTCAAACTCCTGATTTATAACCCCCCTACCCTTTCCCTTTTGGGAAAGTTTGTTTTCTATGTCTCTGAGTCTATTTGTTTTCTAAATAAGCACATTTGTATCATTTCTTAAGATTCTACAAATAAGTGATATCACGTGATATTTGTCTCTGCCTGACTTAGTTCACTTAGTATGATCATCTCCAGGTCCATCCATGTTGCTGCAAATAGCATTATTTCATTCTTTTTCATGGCTGAGTAATATTCCATTGCATATATGTATCACATCTTCTTTATCCAATCATCTATTGATGGACATTTGGGTTGCTTCTGTGTCTTGGCTATTATAAATAGTGCTGCTATGCACATTGGGGTGTACATCAATTCAACAATGAATTCAGTGAAGTTAAAGAATATAAAACTTTAATTCAAAGCATTCTTTTTGAATTACAGTTTTCATCTTTTCTGGATATTTGGCCAGGAGTGGGATTGCTGGATCAATGGTAAGTCTATTTTCATAGTGGCTCACCAGTTTACATTCCCACTAACAGTGTCGGAGGGCTCCTCTTTCTCCATACCCTCTCCAGCACTTATAATTTATAGACTTTTTGATGATGACCATTGTGACCAGTATAAGGTGACATCTCATTGCAGTTTTTATTTGTTTCTCTAATAATTAGCGATATTGAGCATCTTTTCATGTGCCTGTTGGCCATCTGTATGCCTTCTTTGGAGAAATGTCTATTTAGATCTTCTGACCATTTTTTGATTAGATTGTTGGCTTTTTTTTTTGATATTTAGCTGTATGAGCTGTTTGTATATTTTGGAAATTAATCCCTTGTTGGTTGCATCATTTGCAAATATTTTCTCCCATTCTGTGAGTTGTATTTTCATTTTGTGGATGGTTTCCTTTGCTGTGCAAAAGTTTTTAAATTTAATTCAGTCTCATTTGTTTGTTTTTGCTTTTTTTCCATTACTCTTGGAGACAGATTGAAAAAAATATTGCTGCAATTTTATATCAAAGAGTGTTCTGCCTATGTTTTCCTCTAGGCATTTCATAGTGTCCAGGCTTACATTTAGGTCTTTAATCCACTTTGAGTTTCTTTTTGTATAGAGTCTTAGAGATTGTTCTAATCTCAGTCTTTTACAGGTAGCTGTTCTGTTTTCCCAGCACCACTTATTGAAGAGACTGTCTTTTCTCCATCATAAGCAATATTAAGACACTTGGAGACAAGCAGAATTATTTAACCATAATTTCAAATAACTCCTTTGCCAATGGCAAATGAGTTACTAATAAAATTTACATTTAAGTCTTTCTTATTTTTAAAAAGCTCAGACTTAAATCTTTGGCAACATAGTGTTTTAGCATTTACTAAGTTGTTTTTAGCCATCTTTCTAAATAACAGTGATCTCAGAATTGTTTTGTACATAATAGGTGTAAAAAGGAGACTGAATCAAATGTGTGTGAGGCCATGGACGGATATCTGCATTTATATGACGCTTTAAATTCTCTAGTTCTCTCTGCAAAATGAAATGTGGGAAATAATTGCTAAGCATCGCATTATGTAATAGAAACTTTACTACAGAAACTAAAGCAGCATGAAAAGGAAGTTGTTATAAAATGGAAGACTATGTAGGTTAGATTTTTTTCTGAAGGCTAATTTCGACTTAATGTTGATCAACAGAAAATAGATGATGTGGGCTCCATTGTGTGTCTTCAAGCTCCGTGAACACAGACAAACGTGGCTGGGACTGCGGTGGCCTTGCATGGGTTCAACCCAGATGGCTCCCTGCACTTAAGTCATAGATTACATTTTATGCCTTCGGCCATCTGTGCCTGGGACGTTTTGACCTAAATAGAGTAATGTGGTTTGCAGTGTTTTCTTGACCTTGATGTTTTTAAGTTTCATGTTAATTTTTATTGGTTTCCATCAGCACGGTTTCCCACTCCCACCCATGCACATACATTTGTGGGCTTTAAGTCCAGCTTCTGGATGGATTTCAAATAACAAAATTTGCTTTTTTCAACCTCTTCTCATTTTTATTACTTTGTGAAGAGTTGTTTGAACCATGTGATGCTTTTTAGCGGAATGATCAGAAATACACAAAGCAAATAAATTAAAGAATTTTCAATGACTTTTTCAAACCTACAAGCTGCTTGCAGAAGTTCTGTTCCTTACTCTCAGTACAAAGTGCTCTTGGTAGGTGGCATTGCCTGAAAATTCCAGTCTGAATAGAGGGCAGCTTCCCGGTTAAGCCTGTATCCACACATGGTCCACAATTCAGATGCATTCAGAGTAATACTAAAATCCTGTTAAATTAGGTCCTTGAAAAGCCAAACAAACAAACCTGATCTCTAGCTTAAAATACTTTAAAACATGACTCTCCTTTCTCCCTCCTAATTTAGAATCTATGTTGAAAACTAGGTGAACATGACAAGTTTCAGAGTCAAAATGATTTCCCAAATAGCTGGATACGCTCTGTCACAATCTCCCACAATTTGGAGAGCTCTATGTATAGTTCTGTATCTTTACATTTTTAAGGGGTGTTCCACTTGTGGCCTTTTGTGTATCCTATGACTTCAGCCTACTCACAGGCACCCATGATCCCCACTTGGGAACAGGAGGCTCGGCCCCATGTGTGGCTGTTGGGACCCTCAGTCCGAGGCAGAGCTGCCCCTGAGGCCCCATATCTTCCCTGCGGGCTCACTCCTGAGCACGGCCCACCCTGTATCACTGCCATCCCTCCCGAGGTTTCCAAATTAGGAGATACAGGAGACTTTAAAGATGCTCTGAAGCCTTAAGAAGATCAAACAGAGACCCAGGGGGTTCAGTAATTCTCCCAGTGATGCCCGTCTCTGGGCCGGGAGTCGGGAGTCTCTCTCCTGGAGCTCTCGTGCCCTGGCTCCCGCCAGCTGCATCTCAAAGCACTGCTCAGGGTGGGGTGTCTCCAATCTTCCTTTCATTAAAACCCACTCCTCTAACTCACCACGAGGCCTTGGGTCCTAACGAGTTTCTGTTTCTCACTGCTTCTAGATCAAACCTCAGAAAACCAACACAACATTTTGGCTTCAACACACGCAATACTGTACTTCTTTTAAACAGGTAACCGTAGCTTTCCAACTAAAACCGACATAAAATTTCCACATACGCTTTGATTTTAGAGAATGTAAGTCATATGAGATGGCAGTTTTCACTGTTTTGAAGTTTTTCTTTAGACGAGTGTATTACAACGGAAGAAATAATCATTAATCATTACCCTGTAGCTTCCTGGGTCTCTCAGAATATCTGTCTTAGGAGAAGGCTGCTGGTCAGACTAAACTCTCCCCATGCACTGGTGAAAATGGAGCGGGCTCCAATGCCGTGTTCTAAAGCTCTCTTTCCTAGTGCCCGATGGTTCTCCTAGAGTGTGGATTTGTGGTAAAGCAAAGGCACGTGCTTCTGGGAGCGTGTCCGTCTGGCAGACAAGCTGGTGTGACACTTCCCACCGTAACTGCTTACTCTCTTCTTCATTCACCCTTAAGCTTATTTAGGTCCCTACTCCATGGGCACCGATGCTAAGGTGTAAGGGGCCAAGGTTCTTCTGAGAGTTTATATAATTACACTTTAAAGACACCTGAGAGAGTGAGGTAAGAGGTATGAAGTCTGCCCCTGGCACAGAGAACTAGTCCCACACCTAACGACTGGTGCATATTCCAAACCAGCAGCTACCAGACAGTTACGGCGGCTTTAAAAAAGTGGACCTTATATGAAAATGAATATATGTATGTATATGCACAACTGGTGCTGCACACCAGAAACTGACACATTGTAACTGACTGTACTTCAATTTAAAAAAAAAGTGTGTCTTCTTGATACTAATGGGGTAGATATAATGTCTATTGATTTCTTTGATTCAAAGAAAGGCCTATATACAGTGAAAGAACTTCTTTTCCAAGAAAAGTAATCCACATTTTTTTTTTTGAGACACCGTATCAGACTTCCCCAAGATTTACGGGAGGTCCAACATTTCCACTGAGCATTTGCTTTTGTTACAGTAACGAGATGGTTTATTTCAATTCCAGTGCTTAACTGTCTTGAAGCACCATGTATATTCCTTTTAAGAGAGGGCCCCCAAAGCCAAACCCAGACAATCATATCCTGAATTGCACCAGCACAATTTAATATAATACCATTACATTGAAGACATTTACATGGACAGTTGCAAATCTACTTATTTTAAGCACAATTTACATAATATTTTGACAGACAAAAATATGTTTAGAACTATTATGTGCATCTTTCTCTTCAGTAGCAAACTTATGATAAATTATACATTATACCAGAGTAAATCTTCTTAAAGGCTAAAAACAAAAAGTCACATTTATGCTTAAAATACAACACTAGTTTGCCATTTCCAAACAAAGAAAGCTAATGGCCATGACATCAGATTCACTGATTTCAAGCTTACATTCACTTGATACTCACACGAAACTCACTACTTGTAAGTGTAGCAATGAAGTTGGATTTTAATGCTGAGTGTTGGAAAGCTTGTTCTGACATTTCAGTCCAGCTGCAAGCTGGATGTTTTGAAAAGTATATGTGAAAAAAAAAACCACACAAAAAACAACAACATTAAAGTGACACAAGGAACATGTTACACTTGTAACATGTTCTGAAAATAACATCCCTGTTTTATTCTAATGCTTCATCCACAGGTATTGCTTCCAAAGGTTAACACAGCCTATGTTGGGATGTTTCTGTTTTACTTTTCATGGAGGACAGGCTTTTTGAAAATTAGGTCCAATGGGGAAGGATGTCAACTACAAGGCCGCTTGTTACCTGTGATGCCAAGACAGAGGCGGTGATGAGCACGGAGAGTGTCCACCACGTTCCACAGCCTCGTTCCTCCCTTGGAACGTGGGGGAAATTTGTGCGTGAACCTGAACAAAGACCTTGGGACCAGTGTTCCATTCCTTTAGATCCTCAACCTTTTTGTCCTTTTGAAAAAAATTGTCTGCCAATATCTAGCCATCCACTGGTGTATTTTACATGAAACGAATTTTTGTATATCTAGTTTGAGAGTAGGTAGGAAATAATGAGTTAAATAAAAACAGAACATTATTTATTAGCTTAAATTATGTAAGTTTTCTAGTTTTTAATATTTTCAACAAGATAAACCTTTTCCCTCTTTATCTTTCTACTATTACAAAATGAATGAAATAGAAGAAATTTTCACTGTTAGTATTTATTCTTTTTCATTGGATTTAAATATGATCATTTGGACAATTGTTGCCCAGCAAAACTGTGAAGCATATTGTCAGTGGGGACCACTTGGCCCTGTTTCAGTCTACCTGACCACTGGTGATGAGTTTCTTTGGAAGCATGTGCCTCAAGGAGTTGAAACAAAAACTTACGGTGAGGGATGGGTGAAAAGAACTACCCAGGCAGTGCTCTGGGAAGCGTGGTAAGTCTGAAATAGCATGTCTGCCAGGAGCTGCCGGCCCCATCCATTAATTACCTTTACGGGTCAAATGTTTCCAGCTTGGTAGTTTTTTTTTTTTAAATGTGTTTCCTGCCCCTGGTTCTTCTCTCAATCCATGCCTGAGAATCTTGGGACTCCCACACTTACTGGTTCCAGAAACGTGCTCCTTTCCAAGGACTCCATAGGTACTGGGCATAGAGGAGAATCTGATCACACAGGTGAGTAACAAGAATTCTCTTTCCTTCGGGTTATGGATGATGCTTGGTAAAGATTCTGAATGCAAAGTCCTAGTCACTATCACGTTTGGCTAACGCATTAAAAATGCGGGACATTGCAACATGTAAAATTATTTAATTTCATATCTAAACTGTTACCCTGTACATTTAATTTATGTTCAGTAACAAGGGAGATTATTATTTGATGTTTTTAGACAATTGAAATGAAAAAAAGGAATTCTAGCTTCTCAAACACAACTTACAGACTTAATATCAAACATTGAATAAACTTCAGTTTGTCTACAAATGGCAAAAAAAGAATTTTTCTTTTTTTTGGGAAAAAGTGCTTCAGTTTGAATAATTCAGCCTGCCTTTCTTTTTTGGATCAGATACTCAGATAATTTTTCATCAGGTCAGTTCATTCTGCTTTTGTAGACACAGTGCCCATTACTCCTATAATATGCCTGGTGGTAAAGCGTTTAAAATTCTAAAATGGATACAAACCATTATGTATATGCATACACATATATTTCTGTAACTCCAGAAAAGGAGCAAAATAATCTATAATGACTAACCTCATGAAAGTCTGTAGATGTCAAATGCTACAAGGGACGATTTCTTCCCATTAGGACTTGTTTTCACTTTCTGCTTTCTTCTGCATTTTAAAATTCACTCTTTATCATTTGGAGTGGTGATGTGTCCAGGACCGAAGACTGGCTTATGCATAAAAAAGTGCCACCGAGTAGCTCTCCTGACAGTAAATCATCCGCATGAATGAATATCCCAAACGGGGTGGTTTTGTGTTTCTAGTTTACTAGCAGCAGGTGTGGTCTGTCTGTCTCTCACTAACCTTCATCCGTGGGTAGCTACCTCACCTTACAACTGGCTCAGTTTCACTTCCTGTGCTAATTTAGATGGCTATTCAAAACATTACTTCTTTTATTTTGAAGCAAAACTTTATGAGCTTCAGATGAAGGTGAAGGTCCATTCTCTACTTAACGGCCTTCGTGATTTATTGCTCTGAAGTTCCCTAGTGCCCCTGCCTTCCTCACTGTGGGTGCTTTTCCCAAGGCATGTGGTGGCTGCAGACACTCTCCAAGGAACCAGGGACCCTCTACCATGATGGACTGTCCTCTCCGATCGCCTCACATGTCAGGAAATGCCGCTCTGCGATATTTTTTGGTGTTTGCTTTGCCTGCGCTCAGGATAATACACACCGCTACTCAAAGGAAAACAAAGTGCATATTCAGCAAATGTTAAAGTTAAGACGTGAAAGAAGGAGTCACTCGTCACCTTGAGAACGTGAGCTGAGTAACTCACTGCACCGTCCAGTGGGGTGATGGGGACGGACTCTCATGAGCTCAGTGCGATGCTCAAACCAGACGCACGGGGCGTCAGTGCACAGCGTCGGGTCAGGACTACCCATCTCCTTGGTTCACTTGTTTCGACTTCCTTGTTCCGTAACAAAGGTGAATGATCTGTCTGACTCTCTCTTCGTTGAGTGGGGCTTGATTCACGTCTGAACAGAACTACTAGAGTCAAAATCAAATGAGGATGAGAAGTCTGGAGAGAGAGCTGCTGCTTCAGAGGGGCCTCCTTCTGGCCTGTCTTGCCTTTGAGCGTCTGCACCAGGATATGGGTCTTTGTCCTTGTGAGCATTGCTTTTAAATGTATGTTTTATATGCTGCAAACCATCCTCCGGGACTAGCCTGCGAGCGTGCTGTTTGAGAAAGCGGTGTTTTATGTGGATGGGCAACTACAGACTATCTTCAGTGCCAGAGCCTTCCGGACTGGAATCGACCTCAAGGAAGGCCTCTCGGTTGGTGAAGGTCGAGCTGAGAGTTATGCTCTGCCGAGGTTTCACGGGTGCAAGTTCGTCCAATTTAATGTTTTCATTTTTGACCAGAATTGTCTTGTCCATGTTTTCTTCACTGTGCCTGGCAACAACGGCGTCAAATACATCCAACTTTGGTGGCAAGGTTCCGCTCTCAAACAGGTATTTGGCGAGATAAGAGAAGCAAATGTTGGATAGGAAGGAGGTCACCATGGCCAGGGTCTTAAACGGGAATCTCTGATTGTAAATACCGCTTCTATCCATGTAATACCCGGGGTAAAAGATCCAGGGCTGCAGGTTCAGGTACGGCTCCCCGCCGGTCACCCTCAGGAAGAGGCCGGACACGTAGCCGGCGGCCGCCCCGTAGGTGTTGGTGCCCTTGACGAAGAGCACGCAGAGCAGCTGCGGGAAGATGACGATGTAGACCAGGTCGGAGCTCAGGTACCACAGCCCGTACACCGTCTTCGTCAGCAGGGCCATGGCCGTGGCTGACGCGCCAAACACGAACACCGTGATCCTCATGACCCACACGATCTCCTTGTCCGACGCCTGCAAGACATCGCCAGCCGGTCAGTTTCTCTGGGACGTGCAGAGACTGAGACGCCCTCCTGCGCTTTAAAGCTGCTCTAAGAGTCCCCGGGTCCTCCTGGCTCGATCTATGGGCAGACCCAGCCTAAGCCACAGTGAAGCACATGAGGCAAGCCTCACTGGGGGCTGGGGAGGGTCTCAGTGAACCACGTGCAGGAACAGAGACCACCCTGCCCTTGGCTGCATCCCGGGGTGGGCTGAGTTCTGTTTCATCATAGGGGAACCAGCACGCTTACTTCCCACCTTCAGGAATGGTTTTAATGTGGTGGGGGAGGCGTGGCCCCTCTGCCTTCTGTGCAGAGGAGGGCCACCTTAAAAAGCAAGTGGCAGCGCTTTGTAGGCTGGGACCCGGGAAGCCCAGGGAGAGGCCGGCCTGAGCCGGGGAAGAGGGTGGAGGAGGCTGTGGGCCCCTCAGCGAGCACATTCCACACCCTCTGCTTCGATAAGGAAAATTGAATTGAGAGGCTCTTTTCTGACCAAAATGGACTTGGGCTCCGGCGGGGAGGGGGCGGGAGCGACGCCAGCACCCACGGAACCAAGACTCACCACGTTGTGTCCCCACCAGGGGTCTCAGGTTTCTTACCGTATTTAGTTCAACTCAAAGTTTGCCTAAGATACTTTAGGTTTCATCACTCGATTCGTTACGAAGAGACGTTTAAATGACTGCAACGTAACCGTATCTCCTGGGAAACGGTCATACTGACTAGTGCCCTCCGGTATTAGCGTGACTGGCGAAGCGCCCTGAACGCCTCGGTGCGCAGCGTGCGCACGGCGCGGCACAGGTTAACCCGCCGTGTGTGACGCGGGCAGGCTCAGACTTTCACGCGCGGTGTGGGGAAGACGACAGCGAGCGCCGGCACACCGCGCGCAGGGAGGCGCCCTTACGTTTTGTCGGAACGACAGCTGGTAGATGTTGCGGGCAAACATGGAACTTGCCGACAGGATGGACGAGTCGGCTGAGGACATGACCGCGGCGGAGACGGCCCCAAGGCCGAAGTAAGAGACGTACACGGGGCACAGGTGCTTCAGGACGATCGGCAGGATCATGTCTGCCTGCTGGTTCTCCTTGGGGTCCTTGGTCCCGTAGCTGGTCTGGTTCCAGTCTGTGGACAGAAACAACAAACACGACCACCAGGCAGTCTTCACCCGGGTCACCCCACTCACCAGGCGGCTTCCAAAATAATTCGGGACGCGTGGATTAGTCTAATCTGCGGGGGAGCTAATAGTCTAACTGGGGATGTTGGTCTAATTAGGTGAGGGGCCCGTGGACTGGTCCAGGGAAATTGTCTCATCGGTCCTGGCTTTTCACAGGTTTTGGTGACACTTGGTCTTACCCACAAGACCTGCACATTTCTCCTCCGCCATGGTAGCACTACATTGTGCAGAATCACAGTAAGTGTTCTTAAGCCGAAGCGCGGAGTGTGCCTCCGACCACCGGGAGACGCAGGAGGGCTCCTGGTGTTTCACTGCTCGGTCCTCAGCTGCACACACACATTCTCCCCCTCAATGAAGCCTTGTTTTGGAGCTTCCTCCGCATTATTTTTCTCTCAGGTAAATTCCTTCCTGCACTGAATTCCACTTACTGGAAACAGGCATGACAGATCAAGGACTGTTCCTTCTTATTGAGTAAAAAGTGCAATTACAAGGCTGAAATTTTCAGGGGTTTTGGACTCCGCGGTAAAAGGACTTGAAACATAGGATTATCTTTGGAAGCACGACTTCTTTAGTGTGTTGTGCACTAGCAGGTGCCGAAGACTGCACAGAAGCTTTAAATGGCCCTGAGTACAGCTCCATTTTCACTCGCCCAACTTCTTCAATGTCGTGGTTACAGGACCAGAGGGGAGTGGTGTCCCTTCCCCGATTTTTCTATTGCAATTGTTCAAAGTCATACTTTGATGGGGCCAGTTTTACAGCGTTAACTGAGGTGTTGTGGTGGCAGAAATAACAACCAAGAATGCAGATCTAATTCAAGAAAAAATAGGCTTACCTTGTTTTTTCTTTAGTCTGTTTTCCTATAACACCCTCCCACCCACCCATCCACTAATGGTCAGACCTGTTTTCTGGTTGTGACATAAATGCTATCTTCTATTCAAAGGCACACAGTCATCTTTGTCAGCCACTTTTTGAGTGCTTATTCACGTCATGGGTGAACCGTGGAGTACAGAATACACTAGGAACCACGACTGCGCTCTTAAAAATTAAATAATCCAATTATCATCTCTATTAATTGGAAGTCACAGCAGCCTTGTGAGCATCACCCTGGGTCATCTTTACGGAACGCAGCCGACTGAAAGGTAAACTTCTTTAATCTGCTCTAACTGCCCCTACTAGAGGACTTCCCGGATGTGGGGTTAATGCGCTGTAATTTCCATGAAATGCTCTTGAAAGCGGCATAGCGTTGGGAACGTAAGATTCAGAAGTAATGAATGGGCACAATCACATTAAAGGTGAGATTGAAAAAGTGTTCCAGATAGAGGCGTCCTGGGAGATAAGCCCCTTAAAAAGCTCTTTTTACCAGTTTTGAGTGAGACACGCTCTAAGGGACTTAGTGCTTTAGTTTATCTTTACCTACAGATGGGTTGATTTCTGCAAGAAAGAAAACCTTTACTTAACAAACCACTGAAAATGTAAACAGGACCCTCAAATTCAAAGTGGTCCTTAGCGGTCATACAGATGCAGGTCCACTTCTTCTGAGCCAGTGGCTCTCAGCATTGACTCACCGAGGGGACTTATAACAAACACTGGTCCTTGACGCTATCTTGGACAATTAAAATAAAATCCCAGTGGGGTAGAATAGAAATAGATACTTTGGGATGTCCCTCTGTCTCCCCCCATGATGTCGGTGTGCACATTGGTTGAGAAGCGATCGATACACCAACCCTGGGGGGGAGGGTCCTCACAGAAATCTTACTGATGAGGTGAGAAAACGACATCTAAGCTAGAAAACAATCTGTTGAATTTGTAACACAATGGGCAGCTATGAGCTGTGCGAGGTGGCTGGGGGAGGGAGGGCAGGTTGTAACTGACCACGTGGGGAAGCCGCAGGAGACTCACTTGTGGACGCGCCGATGGCTCCGATGAGGACGGCGGGCAGGGCCATGACCATGCACCCGAAGGCTGCCAGGAAGGACAGCACCTGGGCGTAGGTGGCTGAGGACGAAGACAGGACCCTCTGGAAGTAGGCTTGCCACGGGATCCCGCCCAGCATCTGCATGACAACCACGGGGATGCAGAATCAGCCGGAGGCCAGCAGCAGCTGTTACACATTGTTAACATGAGATTTTTTTTTTTAACAGTCACGTTCAGAGCAGTTATCTGTACGGCTCTGGAGTGAAGAAAATGGTCCCACCCGCCACTCATCTGCGCTGCTGCCATTAAGTCGCTGTCACGGCTCCAAGGGTGCGGCCAGACCTTCTCCTTCACGATTACATAGCGCAGTCCTTCCTTTTCCTTAATTTACCTACGTAAAGCTGCGTTACAACTACCGGAAGCCTTCAATTTGTTCTTTCCTGGGGGTTCTAACCACCAAAGTTGTCTCAGAAAATTAAGATTCTGAAACGATGAAGCTTAATTTGAATCAAAACAGACCAATGGATATTTCTGGACTCCATTCGTGGGCCAGGTGATGTGCTGGTTGTCAGAGCCCGAAGGTGAGTGAAGCATGGTTCCTGCCCTTGTGAGATTGTCCGCTGGGAGGTCAGTGCATTCGGTGTCTTCCAGGCGGGCATGCAGAGGGCTCAGGGCCATGCAGGGCATCAAGAAATCGCTAGAACTCCTCCTTATGCTCGTTTTACCTCGCACCTAAATGTGGTTTTATTAAAGGACTTACACAACGTGTGAGTGCAGTACATAGAAGCAATTTATAATTGCATATCCCTACGCTGGGGCATGCTTCACATCCTAGTTTAGGACGTACCATGAAGAAGTTTGGAGACACTGAACTAGCCTGTAGTTTGTCGCATGCTATAAAGAATGAAGAATACAGAAATGAAGAGAAACAATCATTTGGGGTCGCAGAGGGAGGCAGACAGCAGCATGGGGGCCAGGAAAGCCTACGGGAAGGACACTGCAGTTGGTCTGTAAGCATCAGGGAGTGTCACTAGGTGGACATGGAGAGAGAGGCGGGTTCTTGGGAAAGACTCCAAGTGAGAAAGAAAAAGGAGGAACCCAAGAGGCAGCTCTGAGCCCAGCGTGTACTTGGTACAAGGTGAGGTCAGGGGTGGGGGTGGCGAGAGAGGAGGCTGGGAAAATCCTCTGGCATGTCTGTCGTATGAGTGGGTGAGCTGATGAGGGGCCCCCCACACCCCAGCACAGAGAGGTGCTTCTTAGCCCCCCTCACTGGGCTCTAAACCTGGGATGTCTTCTTGTTCATTATTGCCAGTCTGTGCTATTCAGAGTGTCCAGAACAATTTCCTTCTTGTCAAAGCCATACATGCTCAAAAGTGAAAAAAAAAAAAAAGAAACGTAAAAGAAGAAATTCTAAAATTCATAATCCTCTGCCTCCAGTCTGTCTATACTTTTCCACAGCTTTTCCTTCTGGTTTGCAACCCGTGTATCAACGAACCATGAACGCCCTCCAACGCCAATGCATGTTCATCAGTATTTTCAGTGACTACTTGAGCTGACAGGTCATAATTTACCTACGAGTGTCTCTGGACACTTGGGCCATCAGCCTTTGTAAGGAAGGTCAAGTCTGGCTTCCACGGACAAGCTGGAGCTCTCCGGCAGTGGGAATGGGTGGTTTTAGGACAAGGGAGAGACGGCATTCCTGGGGCAAGAGCATCACTTACCAACAACAGAAAGCTATCAAGCCACGTGTAGACCTCAGACGGCTCGACGGTCCCCAGCCAAGGCTTCTGGTACTTGGTGTGCACGGCCGTGAACCCGATGTCGGTGACCGCGGAGTTGGACAGTGCGAAGGGGACGCTGACCCACTGCAAGCAGAGCGTGTTAGTGTCAGGCTGTGTGCGGCCTCTGGGACGCGTGGGACCAGCCTCCCGGCTTGGCCATCCCTCCCTCCTGCTCAGGGGAGGACCTGGAAGCAGGTTCTCTGTGAGACACTGTGAAACTTGGAAAAGTTAATGTAACACATTGTCAGCTTCTGTGCTTAATCACACTGTGTTGTATTAACTACAGAGCAGCCACCAGAAGCCTCTGTGAAGGAAACGTTAACTTTGAGAACTTTACATATAAACATATAGAAATTTTTGTGTTTTCTTTGAATTAGAAAGTTTTTATTAAAGTGATGAGGAGAGATCTGTTGAGAACTTGGTGGGTGAAACAAACCCTGGAGACTGAGCCTGGTACCAGTAGGGAGGAGGGCAAGGGAGAGCTGGTCGAGGTGGAGCGAGGTGGAGCGTGGGGACCCCACAGGATGTGCATGTGCGTGCATGTGTACGTACATGTGTGTTTACGTGTGTGCATGTGTATGCGTGTGTGTGCAGGTGTGCATGTGCAGTGTGTGCATGCGTGTGTGTGCAGGGGTGCACGCACCCACACACCTGCTGGGTGACTCAGGGAAACGGGAGAGATAAAGACAGATAAGTGATGGGAATCCTGACCTGCAAACTAAGGGGTTTGTGTCTTGTTTTGTGGGCAACTGGAAGTTAGAGGAATTTCTTCTGAGTTTTAAAAAGATTTTAACAGTACTTCTTCTGAAATTCTTCTGTCATAGATGTAAACAGTGAGATCAGAGGAAGGGAGGAGTCAAAAGCAAGAGGTGGCACTGAAGTCACCCAAAGGCCTGAAGCAGAGCCGTGGCATTGGTCCCAAAAGGACTGAGGAGGGAGACGGGGCAGCCCTCAGAGGGTCAGGGAAGAAGGGGGCGGGGAGCAGAGGGGACGTCACATGGCACCTGGGTTTACATCTGTGCAGCTCCAAGGACAACGCAAAATCAACAGAATTAGAGAAATGGATGTAGATTTAGGCATACGTTGATCAGTTATGTCTGTACGCATAGCAATTTGAAGCTTGGAAAACGAGCTGTGTTTGGCCTTTTATTCAGCCAAGTGGGGCCTCACCTAGGAGCCAGCAGAGCTGGTTCCTCCTCACTAGTTACATTTGCAGCAGGAAAGGGTGCAGGAAAGGGTGTCCTAGGCCTTCCTGGGAGTTAACTGAGGGCCCACTTTTCTGTCAGATTCTCACAATGTCACTAGAGTTTCTCACCTAATTAACTCATAGAGAAATTACAAATTTCAAACAGTATAGGACTTACCAGGTATTACGTCTGGTAAGAGATAGCGTTTCTATTAATTTTTGCTCAGTTAGTATAAAATATCACATCACCTTTTATAAAAGGAGGAAGGGAGGGAGGGAGAGAGAAGGAAAGAGAGAGAGACAAAGAAAGAGTCTGAGAGTGGCCCCACTTACCAGCCCCACGAAAATGCAGAAGAGCTGGACCACATCTGTGTAGGCCACGGAGTAGAGCCCGCCTACCAGCGTGTACAGCGTGGCGATGAGCGCGGAGACGATGACGGACCAGTGCACGTCGGCGTGGATGACCACGCTGATGGTGGCACCTGGAGGGTTGGACGAGACAGCTCAGGGGAGTTTCACACTAAATTCCTTACTGTCTGCAGTCTGGACATGCATCTGTTTACTTATGGACACGCACACATGCACGCACACACACGCACGTTTAAAACCTTTCTCTCTGAAGTTCGTGCCTTGCTCACTTACGTGGGAAAAGCTGAAACTCACAGAATGATTACAGAATCCCATGACACACACTAAATGTAACGCTGCTATGAGACCTCACAGTGATCCCACTGGCCATCTGAGACTCTGACTCGACTGGGCACACGCAGTATGTATGCCCCCATCCATGAGCAAAGCTAGCCTTAAGCAGAATCACCCATTTCCACATCTTACAGTCAGGATTCATTCGCTGATCTGTATTGACTCTGTCTGGCAGCTTTCACTAGATGACGCTCGGTGTAAGGTACCAAGGCTCGAAACAAATTTGCGGGAGAAAATGACACATTGGTAAATTGCACCTTCCAACTTTCTCTCTTTCAACTTTGTGAAAAACTGCTTTTATTTTATTTGTTGGTGGAGCATTTTCCAATCCTGTTCCCAGGACCCCAGGGTACTGAAAAGCCCTAGATTTCAGCATCACGTCTTTAAATCATTTTCATCATCCAAATTTTAAGCCTGCCTTGGAAGTCAGTCTCTGTCTTTCTAACTTTATGACTTTGTTGAAGTCTGCATCTTCAATAGAACATTGAGGTGTGGATAGTTGGACCACGGTGGCTCTGGGGCCGCCAGTTCAGAATTCACGTGTTGCTCTGCAAACCCTTTCCCCACTGTGCTCAAAAGTGTCTCGTTTATATTTCATGTCATTAAATGCAGCCACGATATTCCTATCCTGTTAGCGTACATGCTACAAAACCATGATTTCTTCGAGTCACTCACTGCAATCTTACGTTCTGCCACCGCTCCTCAGCTGCGTGGTGATTGCCTATAACACCCACCCAGGATGAAAATCCATTCTTTTAAAGAGCAGTGTAAGATATTTTGATCTAAGATAACAACACAAAGTATTTTTCAAGACTTTTTTTTCCTTAGTGCTTTGGCTTTGGTAACAAAACTAAATTAATTTTTTGAGCAAAAACCAACTGAGAAAAGAAATAATCCAGTAAGGAATTGGAGGGTGAAGACAAGGGAAGGAGGTAAATTATTTGTAAATGACTTTGGGTAATTGACTGAGTTATTGTTCTTAGGAGAGCTAACAAGTTATTTTTTCTCCTGAGATTATTTACTTCATGTTAAACCTTCAGTTGCAATTTTTGGCCATTCATCTTTGGTCTTGTTCTCTGCTTTAATTAACAACATTTTGAAGTTATATCTCATGAGTTATGAAAAGTCCAATTATTACCTGACCTCTTTGGAGTACTGTTTAATTTTCCACCCATCTGTGAAATTTCTTTTAATCCTGTACTTCCAAAAGGCAGGGAGCTATATTTATAGAAGGAAGATCACTGGACTTGGAGCCTAAAGATTGAGCACCCTGCTAAATGCTGCCATTCGGTTGTAACCCAGTGGTTTTAAAGAAGTCATCCACTTTTGTACCACTATTAAGTTTGGGATAATTTTTTTCTCTAAAATATTTCCTAAATAATTCCATCATTTGTAGTCACATCAAAGTTACACTTCCAGATCTGTTGGGAAATACTAATTTACTCATGCAGCCACAAAAATAAATATACTGCAACTAAAGTTATAAAAACTCACTGAATTTGAGCTGTTAAAAGTGTAAATAAACATTTCTTTAAGAAGTTGTCAGAAAGTTGTATGTTTGTACCAAGAAGATAGTCTAAGACTCTCGTAAGTTTCAGTGGTGACATTCACAGCCAGGTGGTGACAGATCTCGTCCCAGGTTGTTTGTAACAAACACTGACTTGACTTACGTCCAACTATTGCTTTTGAAGAAAATAGAGGTGCTAATTTAAAAACACACACACATTCTCTTTGCCAGAGTCTGTGTTTCCAGAGCAGAGGCACTGTTTTCATGTCTGTTGCTTGATGTGTATGTGTGTGTGTGTAAGAGATAAACATATTTCACACGTACACTGATGGGCACACACAGATGTAGACAGATATTTACATAACTAATTGCTGAAAAGTTCAGGGCTTAGCTATTATGTTTTATACTTCCAAATACTTTAGAAATAATGAGTTTTTCAGTCTACCCTCCCTTCAGGGCTCTGTTATATAAATTGGTCTTTCTTCAGCAAGAGTGAACACGTTGTACCCTGTTAGACATTCACCCCACTCCTTTTTTGACATCTCAGCAGGCAGTTTGTTCTTAAAACCGAAATTTTCTGCTGTTGAAACCAATGACAAATAAACTACCATTGCTTCCTGGCTAATGAGAGCAGGTGCGGAGGGAGGTGTGCTTTTATGCAAAATATATTAGGCTGTGCCGTGGTAGTTATGGAGAATGATTACCCAGCACCAGGAAAGTGCGACATGTTTCAGTGAGTTATTACAGCAATCTATAACTATCAAATTATCTTCTATTCTCCGCCAAGTCATTCCTTCATTTTACAACTGGAGGCCAAGAAAATAAGATATGACTGTACGGGAGTCTAGGGAGAAAGAAGTGAAAGGTGGTGTAAACTAAAGTCTGATGTTAGAGACCAGATCGGGTGATACACTGAAACCACAAGCTTGTAATCTGGAATATAGAAGGAAATTCATCTTATCCGACTTTGGTTTTGGCCACTTAAAGTCTGGCTGTGGATGCAAACCATTTATCCCCATTTGTAAGACGAGAGGGAAGCCTGGTGTCACACATGTACACAGCTCCCTCAGGAAGGATGAGGAACTCCTGACGCTGCGGGTCCTCGGGAAGGAACTGCGCCCGGTATGGTTGCTTAGGTGCCCCTCGATGAAAGGCTGGGGTACTGAGCCTGAAGCTCTCCCACAATCCCTCCAAAATCTCTTGTTTTTTCTAAGTCTTGAGAGTGGGCTGAGAATCCAAGGTGCGAGGTGTGAGGACAGGATGTCCTTAGAATCGACGGATCTTGGCATAAGTGAGACCTGAAAGAGCCCGTTTCCCACATCCCTGAACAAGCCTGCAGCCCACACTCTAGGACGCAGTGGGATTTCACTGAGAAGGGAAGGGACACGGGTTTCCTTCTTCTCTTTTGAAGAAAGAGTAGCTGTAGGTGATTCATTCATTTGCTCGTTTGTGATAAGACTGTAACAGCTAGCAAGACACAGGTCCTGCCTTCAAGAAACATAGAATGCCTTTCGTGAGGTTGGAAGTTGGAAAAAAGACAAACAGGCACAAAACCTTACAAGTGGTAAGACCACTGAACACAAAAGTCCCGGCGTCCAAGGAAGGAAGACCAGAGGAGAGGCTTCCAGGGTGACAGTTCTGGGGAAGTGACACCAGAGAAGATCTGAAGGTACCTCCCGGCTGGCTGGATGGAGGTGAGAAAGGAAAGGGGGTGTGAGTCCAAACCAGAGAGCACGGGCCTCATGGAGTGTCGGAGAAGGGAGGGAGAGAGGGAACCAGAGCCCAAGTCACAAGAAGCCTTCGTAGCCTGGCTCAGAAGTCTGGTTTTCAGCAGGAGAGGGACGCACTGCTCAGATCTGCATTTTAGAAGGATGTCTCCTACCACGTGGAGGTCAGCAGAGCGGCCACACTGTAAGCAGGGGGTGGTCCAGGTGAGGAGGGCCAGGGTGGCCCCGCCTCAGGCTGGAGAAAGTGAAGCCGTGCACCTGACGCTTCCCTGGCCCGGGTGATGCTGCCAGCCCAGCGCCCGCCGGTCCTTACCTAAGGCGGAGAAGATGGCCGCGGCCCAGAACATCTCCCCCATGAGCGCGGGAATGAACAGGAGCCCCCCCATGCGCTTGCCGTAGATCTGCTGGAACGGGTCCAGCATGGTCACATAGCCCTTGGAGCGCATGGGCTTCGCAAAGAACAGACCACCTAGAGGGCATGAAAGCAAGTGTCAGTGAGAAAATAAAAAATCCGTAACACAGTAGTATTCTTGGCCCATCTCTGACTCTGTGTAATGTCTCCAGGAATTTTTTAGCACACTTAGATGTGTTGAGAGACCAGTCTGCACAATCCTGTGAGTGTAAAACCGAGAAATATTTAGCAACCCAGTGGAAATTTTTGAATACAGTTGTCCTTGTATGCATCCAAGGCTGTGCCTGGCATGGCTGAGGCATGTGAACCGAGAAACCTGGACCAGCAGGGCTCTCGTGGAGATGTCTTCATGCGTTTGGATGCCCCAGCAGGGCGTTCAGACATCTGATTAAGCACGAGAGCCATTAAAAGTATTCTAAGTGCAAAAAATATTAGGAACTCTCTGTTACATAATATTCTCAACCTTTTATTAGTTTGATTTACGAAAAGAAATTCAGGTACCATTCAAGTGGATTCATTTCTAATGATACACCCACACTGTTTCTGAAAGAAAAAAAAATCACTTTGTTACAAAACCCACTGTTCTGATAACTAAAAGATCACGGGACATTTTTTTTTTAAACATAATCAGTAATCAAGAGATCCAATCTTCTAAACACAAGTATTACCACCTTCTGCTAAGAGCTGCTCAGGGGTTTCTGGTCTCATTTCCCACGATCATGATCCACATCACTTGACTTGTTATTTGTATTTCTGGTCTCTACGCTTTACGGACGGAGTCACTCAGGTCTACGGTTTTGCTTACCTAAAATCAGACTAAGAGAGTATCCGATGGGTGCCTGCGCCCAAGCGAGACCGTAGCCTGGCACGTACACGGCTTCGGCTGTCCCGTTGATGTAACCTCCTCCGACCCAGGTGGCTGCAACAGAATAAAAAGTGAGGGGAAGACACGGGCGTAAGCGGCGTCCCTGGACCTGCTCAGCGCGGCTCAGCCGCCCTCGGCCCCGAGCAGCTGGCGCGGCGGCCGCGGGGCGCACGGCGGGTCCGGGCTGGAGGGTTCTAACCGCGGCGGAGGCGCGCTGGGCTTCAAGGACTTTGGGAAAATACATGTGTGCTCGCGATACTTTTTTGGTATTGGTTACATGGCAAAGATCAAACATTTTCAATGCCCTAAGTCATTCTGTTATTTACATTAACTCACCTATTTTTGTGGTTTTTAAAGTGATATGGAGAAAATCTAAGGTTACCTTTGGGGCTCCCATTATGGTTTCACTGAAGAGTGTGGCCCCAGGTATGTTCTAAATCCATTTAGTCGTTAACACTTTTAAGTGATTTATTGTATCATAAAGCCTGGGATCATATACAATATGTTATATCTCAATAATACTGCAACAGCCACCATCACAGGGGTCCAGGGTCTTCATTTCAAGGTCCTTTTGTTTTAATGGTACTGATCTTTTCTCATTGACCATGACCGTTGTCCTCAAGGAGTGGTGTGTGTGTGTGTGTGTGTGTGTGCGCGCGCGTGTGCCTATGCGTGCGCGTCTACATGTGTTTATGTGTGTATATGTGTGGGGGTGTGGGGGCATGTGTATGTGTTCATATGTGTATACATGTGTATGTGTATATGCATGCATGTGTGTGCGCATGTGTATGTGTGCCTATGGTGTGTATGTGTGGGTATGCATATGTGTGCACATGTATGGGTATGTGTGGGTGTGCATACGTGTGTATGTATGCACATGTGTATGTATGTGTGAATGTGTATGCATGCATATGTGTGTATGCATGCATATGTATAGGTATGTGTGGGTGTGAGTGTGTGTGTATGTGGGTGTGATTGTGTGTATGTGTGTGTGTTTGTGTGTGGGTATGTATGTGTGGGTGGGTGTGCATATGCATGCATGGCGGGTGGGTGGGTGGGTGTGTTTTCATTAATAGAGTCACTTGGTAAACATCTGGGTACATAGGATTTTGGTGAATTTGTTCTGAATTGTAACTAAGTTGTATTACTACCTTAAATTGTTGAGGGACTGGAAGGAGGAGGGTGACACTTTTACCAGCAGGGCTCCTAAAGCAGATTCTAATGACCTTTTCCTCCTCTGACTTCCTCAGTACCCGCCTCACACTTAGCGCCAGACCCGCCTTCAGTAGAATTTACAGCACTGACCACATGGCCGTTTGCAATTCTTTGTTCTAATCCAGTGCTTTCAGTAAGATGGCTCATATTTCATAGAGAATAATAAGAAATATATCTTCTTCAGATGTCATTAAAGTAACATTTCTTTAACATAAGACTTGAAGAAAAGAGGTCACATACTCCCCCCCAAAAAAACCCCCACATTTTGATTAAGTAAGCTTAGGCCGAGAATAAGCTATAAACTCTATCATTTTCTCTGAGAAGACAATATAATAGTTGATACTTGCTGAAATGGAAAGTTAACGAACACTCAAATCCTTGCAGTTTATGTCCTTTTAAGCATATGATTGAAATATTTAAAATAATCCCTCAGAAAAAAAAATAATCCCTCAGTAGAATTTGTGTAAAATTATGAGGAACATAGGCTGGTATGAAGCTCATCAGATATGAGGCTTAATTCTGGGCTGTATCATCCAATGGGGAATAAAATTTGACTCTGAAAAGTTCTCTGAAATCTCACAGTTAGAACGTAAGGAGAGTAATATGGATACAAAACTGCCAACCCCACGTGTTTCTGTTGTGTCTCTTGTCAACATGTATCCGGCTTTTAATCCAAATACAAAGCCAAGAGGAGAGAGTGTTCAGGGTTAACACCACTTTAAAAGGTCACCGTGAAAAGACCTTCCTGTAAAGGAATTTTAAGTGCATTTAATGGAGAGTTACTATAAAAATTCTCAGGTGGACAAACGTGTACTTAGCTGCCTCTCTCATCTTCACGGTAGCTTTTTCGTGGGTGTTGATAAATAGCAAACTCTGTGATTTGCTTTTCTCATCCTGAACCCTGCTGAACTTTAAACACGCTTTTTCGCACTGGGCATGTAACCAGGACCCAGAGCAAAAGACTCTTAGAGGCACAGTGCCTGAGACCCCCACCTTCCTGCGAGGGCCCTGGGACTGCTGGCACCACACCAGCAATGTTTCCCTGCATTAAGTAAATGTCTAGTAAAGAATCTCAAGCGCGTACACACACACACACACACACACACACACACACACACACACAACACACACACACACACACACACACACACACACACACACACACACACACACACAAAGAAAAGAAAATAAGAGGAAAAAAGAAGGTAGACGTCTGATGGTCTTACAAGCACAGCACTTATCAGTGATCATCTTCCATGGTGGGGGTCTCCTCTGTCTTTCTAAGAAGAAAATTGGTGCCTGAATGATTGCAGACATTAAAATACAGACCAGCAGGCTGGTTACTCATTACGATTACAGTCCCTCCACTTTCATCGATCTGATACTTTCTACATCAGAATTTGCTTTGTGGGTTTGCATATATCATGTCAGGTTCACGAGTGAGAGCCAGAATTATTCTAAATTATATGCATTCTTATTTTCAATCTTTATTTTTCATCAAAAATATACAATCAATGAATCTGACAAGAGTTAGATAACGTGATTCGGATTTTAATTAAATTATGATATTGATCAAGGCTTTTTTCTGTTCTGAGAGATTTAAAAAAATCTTTAAAAGCTGAGGTCAGGCATGACGCTTTTTAAGAAAAATCATAATTCAATTTTTTAATACACTGTAATAGCCTATTAGATTAAAAAATCACTCTAAATTATAAAAATCTGAATTATTATCTTTATGAACATAATAAATATTAAATTAGAGTAGGGAAATGTTATAATAATTTACAATGAACAAAATACTTTGGTATACACAACTCATTTATTTTTTTCAACAGTTTTGAATCAACAACTTTGGTCATTTTAGTTTGCTTTCCTACCTGTTTTCTTTGTCAGAGGAGAAATCTGAGGGAAATACAATGACAATACTTGAATCCACTTCAGATACAGTATCACATATGGGTCTTTAGAGGAAAGCAGAGATGTTCAGACTACAATGAAAACTGGAAGCGAAGATATACAGGTGTACATGTTGTTCATTGATCGGTGGATAGTAAGAGAAACGCCACGAAAATCTGCATCAACGTCTCAGCAAACGTCTGCAGGTGTGTGTGATTCTTATTCTTCATGTTTTTATATTTTTCTAATTTTGCATCTTATGTATCAGAGAAAATATTTTTGCAAAACATATATTTTTCTGTATATGTGTGTATAGAAGAAAACAGAAACAGAGGGTCCAAAAGAGCTCTGTTCACCCTGGGCCCCTTCATGGAGAATGGGGTGAAGGCTGTGGAGGGCTGGATGTGGTGTGTGGTGGGGGCCCTGGCGTGGCTGCCAGACCAGGGTGCGGTCCTGGCTCTGGTCCTTGCAGACCACGTGACTCTGGGTTCTGACTCCACCCAGAGCCCTTCCCTAGTGCTGCCATGAAGATTGAATAAAACCAGGGACATCTGGCGAAGAGCTAAACATAAAATGTGGATATCTGACAGGCAGACTCTGGAGTCCGGAAGTTATCTACAACATTGCAGGTTTCGGATTGATTTGGTAACTATTTGATACCCAGGGTGAATCACCTTTAACGAGCACTTCAGGGCTGACGATTGGCATCGTTCTGATGTGACAGTTTTCCAACGAGCACTCACTGAGCTCCCGTTAGTGTGGGCTAGGCTGCTAATGTTTAAAAACCTCATAAAGACTCTAAAATGAAAAAATGTGTGTTGTCAGTGAATAGGTATCAAGTGATATTAAAGATATAATTTTAAATTGTTGTTTCGTAGAATTATTGTCAACAACCGAGAGAAGAACGTAAAAGAAAACCAGCCGTCACTTGTTCAGAACCACCTCTGGGCAGAGGAGAGATTCCTGCGGCTCCCAGCACAGAGACGGCTCGCGTGGGTTAGAGCTGCAGTTGGCAGCTGGGGGATTCCTACCGCGACATGCCCTGGCTGTTTCCCTTTTATATCAATGTTCCTGGAAATCTTTTTTTTCCCCCAGTGCTGTGGATCCCTAACAATAAATGTGCTTTCCTTCTGTGAGTAGATTATCTTATTAAATGGGAGAATAGGATTTCAAAACAGGACATCAATCAATTTGTAATTGTGTTGCTCCCAAATTAATTTATCCAGGTTTAAAACCATCACTAGTTAGTGTTCATTGACTAGTTAGGATTCATTAAGGTTACTCAAAGTCACAGCTTTCTGCCTGTATTAATGAACAGGGGGAGACGCTGACTTCATCACGTTAAGGAACAGAAACACAACTTTAGGATGAAGACATTTTGCACATTCCTCCACCTCTTTGTTTTCACTGTCTCATCCACTAAACAGCCCAGGGAGCCCAGGCTGCTTTCACTGACACTCTGTCTGGTGATTTATCATAAAATCATTTGTTCAAGTGCTACTGACTTGAAACCAGTGCATTTTTGTTCAACATAAATGTAAAATTATTTTAAAAATATATGAATAGTGAACACTTGTAATCCCCCAAGGACAAAGAGCAAAGTTTGCCTGTGGTCACTCAGGGGAGCAGAGGGAGGGGTGGGCGCAGGGGACCCACCTGTCATGGTGAAGCCGCCCACCAGCAGGCCAATGTCACGGCCGCCAACAATGATGGCCTCGCTGCGCTCTTCGGAGCTACCACTGTGTTTGGTCCTCCAGGCAGCCCAGATGCCGACCAGCAGGATGAGCAGGTAGAACACGACGATGGCTATCAGCCCCTCCACCTGGAGAGCCATTGTTACCTGGGGCTCCGCGTTCTGCGGCAGCTGGCTACTTCATTAAGGCTTCTGAGGGAAAAACAGCATGCTTCATCAACCAGCCAAGCCAACACAGGCAGCCAGGACTCAACCGGCCAGCCTCTGAGATGGCCTGCACCACTTAAAAGAAACAGTGCATTGAAATCTTCCGTTCAACCGCGATTACCAACAAGTGTCCACGAGCTATTTCTAGTCAACAAGTTCACCTTGTTTCGAGTTTTCAAGAAACAAAAGCAAGTTGGAAATGCTGTTTAAGAAGCATAATCATTTTTTGTGGAAGAAATACTTGCAATGCACAATTAACCTTGTCTTATATTTTTCCTCAGTAACTCGGTCAAGAAATCACTTACAAAGAGTGTGCTGTGTTTGCTTTTTGGAGCTAGGTATTTTTCCATCTGGAATTACTCAGTAGTGCAACTGTATCATAAAAGATGACTCTGAGAATTGATTCATTCATTCATTCATTCATTCATTCATTGTTCGTTCATTCATTATGGTAATCTTCCTTTCTATAATTTCAGGGAATGGTTCCAAAAGCATTGTGACATGCATATCTGTGGGGGAAAAAACTTTAGGAAAATTCCATTTCAATTTTCAACAAGTGCTCAAGGTTCAAGTCACCACAGCCACTGAAGACTTTGTGTTGTTTAAGGGGTCCCCCTCCGGATTCCACCGCCCTCTGGTCGTCTAATCTCTCCCCTAACCCCAATAGCACGTACAAGAAAACGTTCAAAAATAGAGAAATGCCTAAAAGGTAACGGGGCGTCAGAGGCATTCAAAACAAGACTCTTGGAAGAGAGATAAGCCCTAATGCCTTCACTTTCTGGAATTCTTGTCCTGTTATTCCCCCCACCCCGTGACCACGGCCATTCACGGTCCCGGTTCACACAGCGAGTGTGTGGGGGAGACTCAGACATCCGCGCGCGCACGCAGGTGGGTGATGGACCTTGGGCCAAGGAACCAGCCCCTCGGGTTCCCGGCAGGCGGGACGGGCTTTGCCTTGCCAGCCCGAACACCGGGAAGGGCCGCTGTCTCTATTGCGCCGCCGGCGCCCCCGGCGTCCCCGAGCCGGCTGCTCCCCTGCGCCCCGCGCCCCCGGCACCCCCGCGCCCCAACATCACCGCGCTCGCACCCGCGGGCCCGAACTGCGGGCGCCGATCCACCGGGATCCCCGCGGGAGGCACCGAGCCGCGTCGGAGGAGGGGTGG